TGTCGTATATAACGTAGTACAAGATCACTTTCAGGTGGATGTCATCATCTCGAGACATGCTCCCCCTGGAAATGCTGTGGCATCAGTCTATAGCAAGCTCTACCATCACCAAAGTTCACCAGACCAGTCCAGCCACACCAACCAGAGTCTCTGCACAAGGTCACCAGGAAAGCGTTTACAGTCACTTGCAAAAACTAAGAAGCACTACCCGGTGCCCGCGCTCTGTCAGTCTTATCACCAAGGGTCACGACCAGGTCAGAGTTGGTCGGACGAGAAGCAAATAAAATATGTAAATGTTTCTATAAATTTGATAGAGATGGATATGAACGTTCAAAACAAACGAGTGGCCTCGAGCTTGAAGCTCCTTGAAAGGGATAGTTTTATCATATAATGCTAGAAGTGTTTGTTTCTAGAGCGTTTAAAGCTACTCTGGTGATGAGGGGGGGCTCATACTCTTACTGAAAGAGCTCTACTCTTGCTGACAACATTTCAAGAGTCTAAGAAAAAATAATAATAATTTAACTGAAAAACATATCAGTATTTGGGGTAACTCTATAACATATGTAGGATACGAAGCTTCCACTCGTTACTCTTTGCTCATACACTGAGAATCTTGGATGGACTTCTGTTTAAGAATCTCGTCTGTTAAGCCTTAATGACAAACTTGACTAATTACCCAAGGAGTTCTTTTGCGTGCATTCATCTCTTAATTAATATCCGTAAGCTCGACTTAAAAAATATACAAAATTAAAAACAAATATCTAATAGCCTATTGATTTACCCTCGCGTTAACGTCTCCACCGAATTCTTGGTAAGGACGCAAGTCACACTAACTGAAGTTGAGTCAGATCAAACATTTAGATTAAAACAGGCATTCCTTAGGTATTGATATATAATGAACCATGATTTTTTTATTAGCCTTATCAGCAACTTGCAATTGGTGCCTAGTTACCTCCCTCGGATCTACTGCCAAAGCGGTAACTGTCACTCTCTTCATATAATTCACAACTCACTCGACAAGAGAATTTATCAGTCCCAACGGATGACCTAGCTCATTAATCACCATATGTAACCAATGTCTGCCAGTGATAAAACCAGCAATAAATGCCGTTTAAGTGGAGGCATAAAGACTTCATTTAAACATTCCTATCTACAAAGCGCCTCCAAGTATGCCAGCGAGACTCCACAATCGAAAACAAGTCTTACTTGGACTGTCCAGCTGATAATTTTTTTTTTGTTCACTGGAAGTTGCTCCCCGACCAACTTATCATGTATCTCTTAGTTTGCAGTAAAACATTTATCTGAATTTAGAATGGGCGTCATTCCGCCAGTGTGTCGCCAGCATGGACTCCTGCTCCTGGTGGGGGCGCTGACGGCGGTGCTTAGCTGCCTTGGCTTGCCTGGAGGAGACGGGAGCTCTCTCGCACCTTGTACTGTGAGGTACAAACTCTTCTGTCCATAGACCTGGCTACCGGTGCAGGTTATTGTCAAGGTTACTATTTATATTATTAGATTAGCCTTCAGGCTGATAACTAGCTGGGTTGAAGTACGTCGTGGAATCTGAGATAAATAAGATGTGTTACTGGAAAGCCTTAAAGCGCCCGGGTAAAAAGGTTTAGGTGTATATTAGGGGTGTGGAGTTCTTAAATGGCCATATGCTCTTCTAACACGGAGTCGTTCACCACTTACAGTCATGAAGTGGCGCCTTAAAAGCTTCAGAAGAAACAGACTGATACACTCCGAATATTTCAAGCTGCATTACTTGCTGAGAGATTAGACCCAATCTGGTGATGTTCTCATGAATGTTGTCTCATACTCCGAAAATTAATATTTTTATAGTACATAAAAGAGAGATACGACTCGTAGCCATAAAACTTGACAGAATAATACTTTCATTCCGCCATTTTCAACCCTGGTGCTATGCATACAACACTACGATCGAGTGATAGCATCAAATCGTGTGTTGTTGCTGTTGCAGCTTGCATGTCTTTGCACTTTGCGAGGCTATAAGGGAGCAGGCCCTTAAGGAGTTTAAAGTTACTCAAAGATAATTTTATTACGCTCTCCTCTCCCACCAGGGCACTTACTGGGGTGCCGACTGATGTAGCTGTCATCCACCAAAGGAGTCCCGAGCAAGTTATAGCTAAGTCTCCAGAGACAGTTATGGCACCTTGACGCCTCCTGCCATTTTAGTAAACAAGTCACGAGAAGTTTTTCTGACTGGCTTTTTTTTTAGCTGCACATAAATTACAGTGACTGAAGTCTTTCCCGGACAACCAGTCAACACGAATAGTTGTTATATGATTAGTATAAGATAATCTCCCATTGTCCAGTAAACATAACCTTCCCATCATCAGCAACACAACCTTCGAATGATCACAACACAACCTTCCCATGATCAATTCAACCTCGCCATGGCCAATAAGCCAACTCTCATATGATTAATGAAACAACTTCTCTGTTAATAGATGTTAGTGATCTTTAAGCTTCTGTTCTCTAACCTGAGAAATTATATACAGCATTTCCCAAATTAGAGTTGAATGGATTACTAGAACGTGTTCTATCATCTCTATTCACGGTGGAAGTGAATACCATTAACTATCAACTTTGGATATTTAGATTTAAATGAGATAACGCATCTTTATAGGTTTCAGTTCTTAAATCGTAGGCCAAGTACAGTATATGGCCATAGCGCCTAAGTTAAACCAGGTGTAACCACCGCTGTTTTCCCAGCGTTCAATCCCCGACCCAACTTTTTTTTTTTTTTTATCTTTATTTAAAAAAATACAATATAAGTTACATATACATAAGTGTTACAAGGCAATTATACATTACAATTCTTAGTGAACAAGTGTTTCAGTAGTACAGAACAAGATCTTGTAGAAAACCCCTATAAACGAGTTACAAAAATTGAAGAATAAACTTACATTAAAATACAGGGGAAAATATTACATTTATATATATTTTATATAAGCCTCAGTAAACCAATTTTCTATATCATCACCGAGCATGAGCCTTAAACCCCAAATGTTATACCTGATCCTGCCTCGACAGCTTGGAGTGGTAAGGTGGTTGGGTAGTAATCCTTCCCTCTGTCCTATCCTAAATCCTTATCCACTTATTTAATTTTTTGGTTAATTTTGAGGCAGCGCCACTCATCCTGTGGGTGGACACACCGCCATAGCAGCATGTACAACACTCCCCAATAGGAAAAAAACCCGCTGGGTTGTTCATCCTGTCACTTGTACCCAGACATAGCTGGGACTTGCTTAACTGTCACAAGTGAACAGCTTGAACAAGAACAAGAAGATTAACATTTGTCAACCCTTAAAATCTTACGTTATTCCTTAACCTTCTTATCCCTTATTCCTTACTCCTTATCCCTTATCCTTATTCCTCATCCCTTCCATGTGCTATATAGTCGTGATGGCACAGTGCTTTAACCTAATAATTATCTTACCTCTCCAAGCTGTCAACACCAATGGCTAGCCTATCTTATATATTTTGTAGTCCGACATCCAGAAAAGCCTTTATGCATTTATATTTGTTAAGTTGTGATAGAGGCAGTTGTAGTTTATTTACTCTGCTCACTTGTGAAGAGTCAGTTATATATGTCAGACTTTATTGTAGAGGCGATTTATGTGTGTGTGTGTGCCCCAAGATATTACGTGGTGTAAAGGCTTTTAGTAACTTAATGTGATTTATACGTGTGTGTACACACAGAAAGTTACTATGTCATGTAAGCACTTGTAGTAACTTAATGGGATTTATTTATACATGTGGTACAAGAAATTGTAAAATATAAAATTTACTCTTCGTCAGTTAGTAGAATAAACTATTGTATAAATGTGTCTGTCACGAAAAATATATTAGGAGCTGTATTACCAAAGGTGCCTACAGCAGGTATCTTTGCAAGTTACCAAGTCTTGTTGGCGCTAAATTGAACAGTTAATATTGATGAGTATGTACTACAATTTATCACTCCCGTTGACCAGTGATGATACGCGAATGACCTATATACGAATTTTATAGGGACACACCATCCGGCGCCATCTTTGGCGAAGCCATCGCCGATATAATAGTGATATATACAGTAAAGCAACGGAGGGTAGGCTCCACATTTAAGACTTATATCAGAACAAGGAGAACGCAGTTTTCCCCTATCATTCTTTTCACCTCCAACCTACAGACACAGGTGAAGGGAAGCCGATGAGAGGAGCAGCTCTCAGAGCATTATAAAAAGAATCTCGGGGCGGGTTTCAGGGAGAACACATCGTCAGACGCCATCTTTTATCGCGATAGCTAAAGCGACATTTTGGAATGGTGGAAAATGTAAGAGCAATCTTTTAAGAATCTCTGTAAGGAATCCTTTGAGATAGTATAAAGTACGAGCGTAGAGGCTTCTTCTGAATAAAGTACAAGTATAGAATCGACAATTTCAATGATAAGAGTATACCTTAACAGCATTGAACACTTTTAGTGCTATAGAATCCACATCCTTCAGTATTGTAGGAAGCCTAAACGATTAACTATCTATGAATCAGCAAATATTCAGTAAATGTGTAAGAGTTATTTACTGAATAACTTGAAATAACGACTTTGTTGTTGATAATAAAAAAAATCTGCCAGGATAACGGTCGCGATTCATAGACATTTATTTCATTATTCCAATTTCTTCATAATCATACATATTCAAATATTTATTGTTTGCTATTTAAATAGTTTGAAGAATAAGTTATGTTTACATTAATAGTACAACTGACAATAGTAAACTTGTATTTCAAACTCCCAAAGATCAACCGCTGAACCCAACGGCCAATACAGCTAAAACCACAATAGGAACAAAAATCAACGCATATACAAACAAAAAATACACCCATTTCATTAGAAAATACACTTTTAAATCTTAAATTATCAATTCATATTAAAGATTTAGGCATATTCAAATAAGAATAAAGAGTTTAGAAGACTGTTGTAGCGTGTGAGGGGAATGAAGGCTCCTGCCGGCGTCGCCAGACGAGCAGGAGCCCCGGCAGGAGGTGGACCGCTGTCACTCTTCTCCTCTCACTCTCCCTCACTCTCGCTCACTCTCACTCCACCATGGCCTCCGAGGACGTCGCTAACGAGACTCTGCATCAAGCCATACGGGACGAGGTATGGAAAGGATTATTTTTTTTTTTAGGGGGGGAGATAATTGTCTGTGAAGGTGATGAGTGAGACGACGCCGCCGTCAGGCGTCGCCTCTCTTAAGGCCTATCACTCCCCCTCCCCCCCACCTGACCTTGTATTTCTAGATAAACTCAACGTATTTCTAGGTAAACTAATGTATTTCTAGGTAAACTGTCCAATGTATTTCTAGATAAACTGTCAAATGTATTTCTAGATAAACTGTCAAATGTATTTGTAAACTCAAATGTATTTCTATTAAGTAAACTGTACAATGTATTTCTAGATAAACTGTCAAATGTAATTTATAAACTCAAATGTTTTTCTAGATAAACTGTCAAATGTATTTCTACATAAACTGTCCAATGAATTTCTAGGTAAAATGTCCAATGTATTTCTACATAAACTGTCCAATGTATTTCTACATAAACTGTCTAATGTATTTCTACATAAACTGTCCAATGTATTTCTACATAAACTGTCCAATGTATTTCTACATAAACTGTCAAATGTATTTCTACATAAACTGTCTAATGTATTTCTACATAAACTGTCCAATGTATTTCTACATAAACTGTCCAATGTATTTCTAGATAAACTGTCAAATGTATTTCTAGGTAAACTGTCAAATGTATTTCTAGATGAACTGTCAGACATTGTTTCTAGAAAAACTATCAAAGACGTATTCCTAGGTAAGCTGTCGAATATCCTTTAGTAAATAGCCTAAGAAGCCAGCAACTAACTCGGGCTGTGGTGGGTATGTGGGCCTGCGGGGCGCTCCAAGCAACAGCCTGGTGGACCAAACTCACAAGTCAAGCCTGGCCTCGGGCCGGGCTTGGGGAGTAGAAGAACTCCCAGAACCCCATCAACTTGGCGCAGATTCTGGCCAGTCAGTTGCATTAAGAACAAATGGCTGTGTTTGAGGATTCAAAGTATTAGGCTTTTTGAATCCAATTTTTTTTAGTGTAAACTATATTCAAATCGATTCTTTTTAACGAAACTTTGAATGAGTGATGGACTGGTGATTTAAGAGATGTATATGGCTCTGCTTGAATATGTTTAACAAAAATTAGTTCTTATGTCCGTATGGCTCATGTGTACTACGCGTGTTAAACTGTGTCTTTATCTACCCTATTAATTCCCCCATTGAATTTTCAATGTGGTAATCATGTCTTCCGTCTTAATCCTTCTCATAAGTTTTCCATTATCGGCAAAGAATAGGATACATCAGAGATCTGAGTTCTGTGGGACTCTCCTAGTGATATCTCGCCCCTCGCTGTAACTTACAGGCTCCTCTTGCTATGGTACTACCTTAGCCTATGAAGCACCTTCCCTGTCACTCCTGCCTACTTCTCCAACTTGTGCACTAAGCTCTTGTAGGGTACTGTCAAAGGCTTTCTGGCAATTCAAAAATATGCAGTCTTTCCACCCTTCACTTGTCTATTTTTTGTCACCTGGTTATATAATTTTATTAAATCTGCGAGTCGAGATTTAGCATCCATGAACCCTTGCTGGGGGCTGGGGCTGTTAAAAAGTTCCTTCCCTCTAAGATATTCTTTGTCTTTTCTCGCAATCTTCGCCATCACCTTGCATGGTATGTAAGTTAGGGACATTGGCCTGTGGTTTAGTGCCTCCAGTCTGTCATCCATATTCTAGATTTTTAAGTAGTTATCCTGTTACTAGTGACCTTTTATACACCAGGGATAGTGAGAAGAATAGTGCTTCTTCCTCTTTTATTATCCATAGTGAGATTCCGCTTGGACCAACAGCCAATGTCACGTCAAATTCCAGCAGATGCGTCACACTCAATTAAAATTAATCAATGAAACCGTTATGTAATAAAACTTACTGTTTCTCGACTTATGCTTAATTTCCTAAATTTTTATGTTCTTAAATGGTATGTGACTGAGTCTGGGAGGGATATAAATATTATACGCTGCCTCGTATAGGTCAAAAAGACCTTCTGCAGGTTCCTAAATTCTAATGGTCTTTATGGGAACGAATCAGCATCTCTGCAGTAGTTTATAATAGATATTTCACGTCCTTGTCACTTCTTTGTGCATTTATTACTGATTGTCTTTTATTTTTATATTTTCAGATGATGTCGATAGATGAGCATTTAAAGGAAATGCGGAAACGCAGAATGGAATTAGCCAATGATATAAATGGAGCATCGTTCTTTCTTGAAGACGTTCGTTCAGTAGTTTCTGAATTGAAAGGTTTGCATATTGTTTGGTTTAGTTGTATGCGCGTGTGTGTGTGTTTGTCAGAAAGAAGTTTGCTAATGAGAAAGCCAGTTGCCTTGAGCATTTGATTCACAGTATTTCTGTAGTCAGCAAATGACTAGTGCCCAGTAATTAGTTTAACGTCTATTGTGGGAAAAAATGGTCTGAATCGATAATTGCAAATGCCATTCGCCTTCATCCTGAAAAACATAGATTAATAAATGACTCACAGCATGGTTATACTAAGGGCCGTTCATGTTTGATAAATTTGCAATGATTCTATTTATTTATTTATTTATATATAAGAAATTCCATTGGGGGTTAACAGAGAATATAGAAAATAAATTGAATTAACATTCTTGTAGCCACTAGCACGCATAGCGTTTTGGGCAAATTAAATTTGCCTATATTAAAGCATAATTGAGTCTGTTGATAGTGGAAAGGTGGCTTTATAACGTGGCTTTAACAAAGCTTTTGATACAGTGCCACATGGGAACTCTTGCAAGGGAACACCAACCTAAAATTGTAAAATACTAGTTTCTAGGCTCTATAGTTTTAAGTCGTACTAAACGCCCGAGAACTAGAATGCGGGTTACAGAAGCTGATGTATATATATGGAACCAGCCATATGAAGAAAGCTTGAAAAAGCTTTACATTCTCTAGAAAAAGTGAAGAGTTACGGGTGACATAATTGAAATGTACACGTGCATGAATGGGCTTCATCTTCTAGTGTGTAGTTTGGTCAACATTTTTCAGCCACGTTATTGGGACTCATCATCTTAATATGAAAGGGCATAACAAAGGGAATGTTAATACGGTATTAAGTATATCAACACAATAGAACATGAAACAATGGATATACATTGGATTCATGTTCATACATTGTTTCATGTTCATAATAGAACAGGAAACAATGGATATACATTGGATACGTTTAGATTTAGGAAAGACCTGGGTAAATACTGGTTCGGTAACAAGGTTGTCGATTTGTGGAATCAATTACCGGGTAACATAATAGACATAGACCTTGATTGTTTCAAGCGTAGGTTAGACATATATATATATGAATGAGTGGGTGGATATAATTAGGCACTGCCACGTATGGGCCAATAAGCCTTCTGCAGTTTCCTTGATTCATATGTTCCTATATATTATTTTCCCACGTTGGCTCCTTACTGTGTTACTTAAGGAAGCAAATGTCAACTTATTCAAAACAAATTCTTCGTCGGTATTCCCGGTTTTGTTAAACCAGCTTATTCAACTAAAATTAAGTCACCCATAACACAATGTTTAACCTAGATGTTCTAGATATTTCATCCCATAAATGCTTGGCTTCCATTCTACCTTTTGGTGACCTCTATATACAACCCATCCTAATAGAGCGTGACATTTTGATGCATACTCTACCTAAGGTAAAAAAAAATCGTCATACTAGGAAAGGGTAGCGGCTCGCGAAATTGACATACTGTCCCGTTTTCTGTTTTGGGTCCTCTGGTAGGTTAGGATAAGGGCACTTTAGCATAACATTTTCTTGACGTTGGGAAACCTTAGGCGGATGGGCTGCTATATAACTCTTATTACTTTTTTCATTCAATTCTTAACAAAATTGTTTGTGTTCAGCACAGTTTTGATCCCCTCTTTGACGTTACATTAAAAATTTTCCCTGACATATATGCCAATCATAATGGGAAACTCTCCCTTACTCCTAATTCAACGGCTGTCTTAAAGCTCTGCATTAGTGCCTCACTCCTAGTTATTCCTACTTCATTTCCGTCGACACATACAAATAACGGGCTTGTTTCCATTTCCAGGGATAATATCACTCATTGTTTGTAATATCCCGTATTCCCGCTTCCGGATAGCAACCCTTAAGCTGTTTACCCTTATTTCTGGCTCGTTGTTTGTTTAAGATTCAGCTACTTAGAACAAAGTTCCAAAATAGCACGGGCTATGGTGAGCCCGAAGTGGACTTACCTGGCACAGGAGCGGGGCTGTAACTGAGAACTCTGGCACGTTGTTTTAGATTTAGCTACTCAGAACGAAGTGTCCATGTAGCACGGGCTATGGTGAGCCCGTGTGATAGGCACGTTGTTGTTGTTATAGATTCAGCTACTTGGAACAAGTTCCAAGTAGCACGGGCTATGGTGAGCCCGTAACTTACCTGGCACAGGAGTGGGGCAAGTAGCACGGGCTAAGGTGAGCCCGTAGTGGACTTACCTGGCACAGGAGCGGTGCCGATAGGCACGAAAAAGTCCCGTCTAAATACTCACCATGTCTAAACATCTCACCTTATTTGTGATTATCTGACCCATGTTTTTTTTTGTTATTACACAGGAATGCTCTTGCCTAATACGGATAAGGAGGATAAGTCTCCGAAAGAATGTCGAGACGTCAGTCAGCAGACAGACGATGTCATTTTGACACGCAGGAAGACGTAAGTGGATCCTATATTAATGGTTTGCAGTTTAAATCCTTAGACATTGTTCAGACATTTTAGATTTTTGTCGTTGGAAACATATTGAACTGGTTTTCAAATGTTGTCCCACATAACAAGAGACAAGCGGTTTAAAGTACTTATAGAATTAATGTGGTCGAAAGTACAAATATTTCGTGATGCACTACCAGAAAGTAGACTTTTTTAAATTCATGAATTTAGACAAGCTGGATTTTTTAATATTTTTTTCTATTTTATATTCTTATAAATTTTATTTTTTATATTTATTTTGTATTTTTTTATTATTTATATTTGCTAATAATATAAACCTAACATAACCATCTTAGGACTAATCCACGCCGACTAATCCCAATCCAATGTCGTCTCCGTTTGTATTCCGTGAAAATGTGTTGAAAAACGAAAACATTTCGTATTTTATTTTCATTCCATTTTTTCCTATGTAGATACTAATACTATACTATATTTTATATAATATATATTATATATATAATATCAGACGGAATGATTCCTTCTGAAGATGTATTAATATATGAAAGTACTTAAGGAAATTCCTGTTTCAATACTTCCTCCGTGGTCTGACACTGTCATATATATATTTGGGCAATGAGGTGACGAACCGGCGTTCAGGTGATTCCCAGACACCTGCCTTCTCAACCCACTCAGCCAAGATAGGACAAAAACCTGTCAGCCCGGAACTCTATTGTATTCACTGGGAGGTTTTGAAGGCCCGAACCGGTGCCCAACCAGTTCACAATAGGCCTGTCTACACTGTGGCCTTGTGGGTAATGCCAAATTACCCACAATTACTAAATTACTACTTTGTCAAATATTTGCATATTTAACAAAGTAGTATTTTTAGTAAATAACTGTCTAGTTACATTTTTTTTGTTTCGTTGGCCTATATTTTAAAATTATTTTGCCAAATAAAAAAATATAAATAGATAATAATGTCTATACTTCCCTTTCTTATAGTGGCAAAAAAATATTATAAATAGATAATAATGTCTATACTTATCTTTTTTATAGTGGCAAAGAAAACAAAGCGAGCAAGGCTAAAAAGGAAGAAGACAAAATTAAGGAAGAAAAGCAAGAAGACAAAATTAAGGAAGGAAAGCAAGAAGACAAAATTAAGGAAGGAAAGCAAGAAGACAAAATTAAGGAAGGAGATCAAGAAGACAAAATTAAGGAAAAAGAGCCAGAAGACAAAATCAAGACTGGACAGAAGGAACAGAGTGAGGAGAATTTGATGCATAGTGACAAAGGAAAAGCAGAGGACAAGCCCACATTGAAAGAAGGGGAAGAGGAGTCGGAAGTGGATTGGTATAACTGTGAGGAGTTTAATGTGATTGAAGAAGACTTGCTAGATCAGGTGAGAAAGTCAACAAGTACTTTTGATCAATTACAAAAGTTATATTTAGACAAAATTATGTAATATCATTTTTTGGCCATGTGCACTTACACCTTGCTAATTCAGAGCCACAACGTTTGGATCTTGATGTTTGAAAGTTAATGTTTTATTAATGCTCAGTACTGGGAATGGTACGTTAAGACATAACAAAAATACATTAAGGTTTCAAATTTTGTACACACGCATATGTACTGTATATAATATGGTATCTTGTTCAAGTTTTGGATAGCGTGTAACTAAAAAAAAATACCATAAATAATATATTTAAAACATACAAAAATAACTCACTGTACATGGTAGTAGTGTAAATGGTTTCTATATCGCGTTAAGATAATTGGAATTTCTCCTCCTAATAACAACTCTGGTATTCATTCATTAATATTTATTTCCAGCAAATATTGTCTGCGAGTAGTGAAACAAGATCATCAATGGATTCAACAATTGATCTTATTAGTGAACTGGCGGAAGAGTTGCTAGAGCTTGAAAATAGCGACATAGTAAATTTCCTCCTCAGGTTCTTGTAAGTTGGATAAACTTTTTTTTTATAGTATTGTATATGTGTATGTGAATATTGTATATGTGATGCATGTTATTCAGTAGTTGCATTCCAGATTAAGGGGGAATGCGAGCGAAATATATCATAGTGTTGATTAATGTGATGTATACTGTAATTAGCAAGTTTTGGTAGACATCTGCTATTAAAATGAGTATTTTCTAGTAATTGTAATTAATGCTACCGGTTATCCTAGTCACGGCCTTGGCCCCCATGAGAAAATGTTATCAGATATTAATTTTATTAATACTAGTGAGTAATCCCAATGTCTTATTACAGACATAACAACATAAGATATAAAGACATTTCTTATTCTGCTTCACACACGCAAACGCTCTTTCATTTACACTCATTCAGGCTATTAACCTACTAATAATACTATTTTATATATATATATATATATATATATATATATATATATATATATATATATATATATATATATATATATATATCGTACCTAGATACTAAATCGTCAGCTTTGTGCAGAAAATCCTAGATACTAAATCTCTAAATCTAAATCCGGCTCTACACAAATTACCCGTTGTTGTTTTAGATTCAGCTACTCTGAACAAAAAGTTCCAAGTAGCACATGCTATAGTGAGCCCACAGTGGACTATTAAAAAAAAAAGTTATCATTACTGATCTCCCCATGTAAATAAATACAGTATACAATACGTTTATAAGGATTAATATGCTCACATCAGTAGTCTCTTAATTTACATAAATATAAAGAATAATTTGCATACGTTAAATTAATTAAACAATTTACTCAGCCCCAAATTCAAATAAAATTTATATGCAAATTATCGTAAATGCCTAACAAATTTAAATGTGGGTTAATTCAGGCCGTAACAGCATCTATAAATAAACGGTCATTTTGTTGATGCTAAAAATACAAAGATGGAAGCCTGGTAAGTTATGTTATGTGTTAGATTTTAAGCATTTATGAACCGAACCAACTTTCATTTGTTTTCCTCCATCTGTTCTCATTCCAGGATCCGGATTCACAAAGCAGTTACGCAAGTACTTACGAACGTGTACAACTTTCCTCAATCTTTGACGGCTTTGGTTACATTTATTAAACAGTGTACAAGCATGACAACTTCCCAATCAACTGTTGTTATTGTTATAAACAGCCTCCAGGTGCTTCGAAGCTTATTAATTGTAAACAAAGCCGCCTAAGATTGAGCAAAGATGGACAGGTTCGTAACTACTTCGTGACTCAGGCCCCAGGTTATTGACTTGTATTGTCTAACATATTGATTGGGATAAAGCTCAGTACTGGGAATGGTACGTCAAGACACATCATATCTTACTCAAAAAATACATTCAGGTTTCAAATTTTGTTTTGGTTTTCAGACAGTGAATGGTTCTCATAGACTAATATGAGAACCTCCCTGATATGAGAACCTGTGTATATCTCTCTGATATATCAGGGAGATATACACCGAGAGGTATACCTCGCTACGCTGTGGATATACACTGAGAGTTTACTTTAGTCCTGGACGGTGTTCAGGACTAAGTATACTTGCTGGATGGCCAGTAATCTATTGTATTGGCCCCTTTAATAACCCTCCAGAAGTTTTCCTACCCTGGCTTTGCGCCCTGGAGAGGTCACTCCAGACCGACAACCGGAGCGCAACTCCATAGTCTCCTGGGACCAGATTCACGAAGCAGTTACGTAAGCACTTACGAACCTGTACATCTTTTCTCAATCTTTGGCGGTGTTGTTTACAATGATTAAACAATTAATGAGCTCCGAAGCACCAGGAGGCTGTTTATAACAATAACAACAGTTGATTGGGAAGTTTTCATGCCTGTAAATTGATTAATAAATGTAACCAAAGCCGTCAAAGATTGAGGAAAGACTGACAAGGTCGTAAGTTCTTGCGTAACTGCTTCGTGAATCTGGCCCCTGAGACGGGGCCAGATCTAGTATTAATAGGCATCCAGTGCTGGATGCCTATTACTAGAAGTTGATAGATCTTAAGCCCAACAATTCAGTAGACTTTAAATATGCATGTAAGACAGAGCATCCCATTGGAATTTAAAAGTGTAGCCCTCAGCCCGCGCCTGACAGCTGAGTGGACAGCGCTTCGGATTCGTAGTCCTGAGGTTCCGGGTTCGATCCCCGGTGGAGGCTGAGAAAAATGGGCAAAACGTTTCTTTCACCTAATGCCCCTGTTACCTAGCAGGAAATAGGTACCTGGGAGTTAGACAGCTGCTACGGGCTGCTTCCTGGGGGTGTGTAACAAAAAAGGAGGCCTGGTCGAGGACCGGGCCGCGGGGACGCTAAGTCTCGAAATGATCTCAAGATAACCTCATGATAACCGTGTCGGGAGCTACACAAATGAAATGGTCTTCATCTAAAGATTCCAGTAGAACAGTCGAGTTCGTTCTCGACGTACAGTCGAAATTTCCGGGTTCGAATCTCGGGCGGGACAGAAATGGGTGAACACATTTCCTTTCACTAACTGCTCCTGTTCACCTAGCAGTGAATAGATACTCGCTTGTTGTGGGGTTGCATAAGTTTACTTAAAAAACAAAACTGTAATATACTGAATTTCGCAATTCACATTCAAAATTTAATTAAAAATAACAAGTTAGCTTACAAAAAAATATTTGACTTTTTTACATAAGGGACAACCGTATTTGATTATGCTGACCAGACCACACACTAGAAGGTGAAGGGACGACTACGTTTCGGTCTGTTCTGGACCATTCTCAAGTCGACTGTGAGAATGGTCCAGGACGGACCGAAACGTCGTCGTCCCTTCACCTTCTAGTGTGTGGTCTGGTCAACATACTTTAGCCACGTTATTGTGACTCATCGCCTGCGTATTTGATTAGTTTGTTAAATTCATTTTTATTTGATCTACAGGTATGGTACTCGACAACAATTAGACGAAATATATGACGAGGTCATTGCATTGGACGAGCACGAGAAACACCTAGTGCTGGAAAGAAGTTCCCTCGAAGAATCTGACAAGACGCTCGTCTCCGAGAGCCCGACAAAATCTGAAGATAAATGAATCTTCTCGAGGTAGAGAACAATGCTCAGGACCTGTTCTTTTGGTTATGGTGTTGTGTGGAATTAAAGTTTATATTTGCAATATCATTCTTAGATTAATTTTCTGGTGGATGATCTGAGCGATGAATTTGGAATTTGTGTTACTTGAGGACAGCAAGAAAAATGTGAAACTGCAAGTAATAGTTAATTTTGAAAATGAGCTTACGTGCATTAAAATAAAATCAGACCATCATTGCATTGTTAATTTAGAAAGGAAGATGTATATTTTGACAGTAAAATTATAATTCCTTGAGTTTGCATAATCTTTTAACAAAACTATTCAACAAATTGTATCACTATAATTTATTGTTTAAAACTGAAATTTCTTGCTGTAGGAGTCGGTTGAAAGTATTATGTTTTATATTTTTACATTGCCTCTGGATATGGTTTTACAATAAAATACTCTGTCATATTGTGTTTTATTTGTACACATTTCCGCTTTGTACATACAGATTTTTACACTAAAGTGTTGAATAGCAAGCCTAAGAAATGTGAAATACATACATAAATCGCAGTTTGAATTGACATTAAGTGTTCATTCAAACTGGAAATAATTAAAAAAGAAATACAATGTCGAATGATTATGGAGCAAGCATTAGGAGAATGTTAAGAGTCCCGCATCATAGACGGTGAATCGATTTTGTGCTAAAAAATGCATTTTTTAAAAGTGTATATTAAAGAATAATTATTTTAAACTGCCATGACATGAGCAACCATTTTGAGTGCTGAGGTGGTCAATAGCAATGAGTTTTGTTAACCTTTAGAGAGCAATTCAGTTTTATAGGAAGATAAGTATTTTATAAGTGTTAAACTTGAAATCACTACTTGAGAAGGTCGAACATTGTATATTTTGCTAATTGCAAGATAAATTACAGCTAAAAATGATATGAATTTATTGCAGTATCACTTAAAATATATATTGGTAATACCTGTGGACACTCCAGCATCTTGAGAAAAGAAATCTGCAAGAGTAAATTCCAATTTTTCAGCACTAACCCATAAAGGGAGTGCATCAATAGGCAAAAGCTCATTTTGAGTAAACCAGAAACCACATGGAGGATATAAGACTTAAAATCGTGCTACATAGTCTTGTTGTCTTGATGCCTTCTTCTGATAATTATTTAACATAAAATACTACATTGCAATACATCCTCTGAACAAAACAAGTGTATGGAACAACACTTGGCAAATGAAATATGTGAATAAATGCCACGCTATGGAACGTGGGATAGGAGATAACTGGCCACACACACAGCCTACAAGTCAGAGAGACGGCTTTAAAGAATTCTGTTAAAGAAAGAAATTTAGAATTTCTTTCTACGATCGACTTGAGAATGGTCCAGGACGGACTGAAACGTCGTCGTCCCTTCATTTTTAGAGATGGTTGTGGATAGAAACTTCACCTGAGGAGCTTATACTGTACTACACTTGCTAACTTCAGAATTGCTATTAAATACATGGGTGGCGAAATAATAAAGGTGTTTACGATCTTTGTGAGACCAAAGTTGGAATATGCAGCAGTTTTATGACGTCAATATCTCAAGACACAACAATAAACTGGAAAAAATAGACATGCAAATGACTTTTGGATCTGAAAAAAGAGGTACGAGGATAGTTAGAATTATTAAATATACCAAAAGCAGAATATCGAAGAAAAAGAGGTGATATGATCACCTCTTTGATACGTACAAAATAGTAACAGGAATTTATAAAAACTAACAATGAAGAATTCTTGAAAACTACAACTTCGAGAGAAAGAGGTCATAGATTCAAACTAAGGAAACAGCTGCCAAATTTGTTTTAGAAAGTTTACTTTTGCAGTGGTAGACGGTTGGAAAAAGTTAAGTAAGAAGGTGGTGGAGGCCAAAACCGTCAGTAAAATCAAAGCGTTATATGACAAAGAGTGCTGAGAAGACGGGACACCACGAGCATAGCTCTCATACAAGTCCAAAAAGTTTAGATTTCCTGATATACCTCGTAAATTGATGTTCAACGAACATGTAAATTCAGTTTTATGTATACACCAAATACCCGCATCTTAGTCTTTGAATGGCGTGCTATTTATTGTGTTTATTGAGATTAGGCTTTTGGTCAGTTAATGCAGCCGTTTAGGTTAATCAGGGCTATAAATCCCCCAGAAGACGATCTAGTAAGCTGTTTTACAATTATTTCCCCAATCACTGTTTTGTGAATTTGGTGAAGGTATCTATATAAAAAAAATGAATTTTTTTGTTTCTTGTCAGCTTTGTACTTTATATATTCCTGAATTATAATTTACATTAAAAGCAATTTTCACAAAATACTACGTAAACGAGTGATTTCCTATAAATTATATGTGAATCTTTATTAAAAAAAAAGACGTAATTATAAAAAACAAAAATATACGTTAACAGAGTTGCGATTCAGCAGAAGCAAGTGAAATATTTCTTGGTTATCATATCTTAAAAAAAAAATAAGCATTTAAATGTTTACTCTTTGTCACATACAAATTAAAAATTTGTTTAATGTAATAATGCTCATATTTAACAATGATATGTTCATTTCATAATCCGAGTTTTACTCCCAACGCCCTATATATGAAAAATAAATAAATATATATATGGTAATGTAAATAAAAATGTGCCTAATTCATTACGAAATAACGATATTAGCGAATATGAAAGAGTTTAGGAGACTGACAATAGCGTTTAAGGCAAGCATGCTCCTGCCGGCGTCTTCAGACGAGCAGGAACCTCAGAAGGAGGTGGATCGCTGCGCCTACTTCCTTACACCATCTCTCACCTCTCACACTCTCATTTAAGTTCTCTAATCCAAGATGAATCCCGAGAACGTCGCCCTGCAAGCACTGCGGGACGCACTACAGAAGGAGGTATGGAATATGCAGGTAAATATCCGCGATAAGACCGCCAACGCAGTCCATGTGTGTATAGTGTACATATTTAGTGATGAAAGTCGTTTATTGACCAAGTTTTATTTCTAGTTTTATATTACTAGGCCTAATGTAAAATTGTAGTATATATATATATATATATATATATATATATATATATATATATATATATATATATATATATATATATATATATATATGTACTAGGCTGTTGATTAACAAACTCAATATACAAAGAGAACACCTCAGCCCCCATGCTACAAAAGTGTATAATTTTTTTATTTATTCAGTTCCCTCTTTTTTTTTAATACATTTGTAGCAAGTATAAAGTCATCTACTATACATATACATTGATTTCTGGAAATTATGAATTCCATCAAATATTAAATTAAATTCATTTAAAGTTTGTTTGGGCTACTATATTTTTTTTAACATATCTATGATATATAGAACCTAACATAAGATTTGCACGGTCATTATTTTATTGTAAATGGCTTTAATAAAATATTCTTGATATTATTTAACTATTCAAGAGCCAAAATTAGCATACTGAAAATTTGAAATATGTTAAGGGATTAGCATCTTTCGACTGAATGTGTACTAAATTAACTTACTCTTAAACCTATTTTTCAGATGGAGGCAATAGACGGTTTTGCCAAAGACATGCAGAAACGCAAGATAGAATTATCTGTGACTATAGAAGGAGAGGAATCTATTCTTTCAGAAGTTCGTTCAGCAACTTCTGCATTAAAAGGTTAGCTGATTTGTTTAGCGGCTTCCATTTTTTCCCTAGTTTCCTATGTGTATAAATATTATAAACCTAATGCAAAATAAACTGATCTGTTCCGAGACACAATGTGTTTAACCTTTATGTAATCACGTGAGATTACATAAAGACACGCCAATCGTACTGGCGTTTGCCTTTCCATTGGAGACTTTTGGCGCCGCGGAGAGGGGGGGGGGGACCTGCTGCATAAGTAACAGCTTCTCCTCCATATCAACCTACCCTATCTTTGCGCCCTGGAGAGGCCACTCCAGACAGACAATCAGAGCGCAACTCCATAGAGCCGGTCGGCCGAGCGGACAGCACGCTGGACTTGTGATCCTGCGGTCCTGGGTTCGATCCCAGGCGCCGGCAAGAAACAATGGGCAGAGTTTCTTTCACCCTATGCCCCTGTTACCTAGTAGTAAAATAGGTACCTGGGTGTTAGTCAGCTGTCACGGGCGGCTTCCTGGGGGTGGAGGCCTGGTCGAGGACCGGGCCGCGGGGACACTAAAAAGCCCCGAAATCATCTCAAGATAACCTCAAGATAACCATAGTCTCCTGAAACTGATGGATGCCAACTAGTACTAATCAAGTGCAAGGCTACATAACTGCGAAGGAATACTTTAATAATATTGTAAAATGTAAGACCCCCCTCCCCTCTAGGCTTTTTAGTACTGCAAGACTATCAATCAGCCTTAGCCCTTGGTATATGGCCTAAATACCATCACAAATGAATAGTGGACACTTAACATTCTGTTTTATAATTAGACCTTAGGTCCAAATTATATCATAATTGTACTTAACCAATATATAGGCAATATTAAATTATATATATATATATTTTCCCCATAGCATTTCCTGGAAGGCAACAAAGATCTGTAAAAATGTGTACTTATTTTATCCATTATTGTTTGCCACACAGGCAAGGCCCAAACTGCTATGACAACTAGGGAGTGTCTGATATGTCAAGAAGTGTGTCAGCCGGCAGAAGAAACCAGTATGACAGCCAACATCGTGTAAGTGGAGCCCTTGTTAAAACGATTCTCAGATCTTAGATCCTTTTAGACACTAATCAAACCTACGTTTCCATGACAGAAATACGAGACGTCTCATGTTTTTTATTTAAGTAGTTAAAGCACCATGAATAAACAATATATGAAACTAAAATGAACTGTTTTCATATATTGTCCCAAATATTAAGATGTATAATATATATATATATATATATATATATATATATATATATATATATATATATATATATATATATATATATATATATATATATATATATATACACGCGAACTGTTACACGAGTTTACATCTGTTCTGCATAGCGACTTGGCAAGCCGGCAGTTGATGCTAATTGTATATCTGGTTGGACTTCTTCTTTGCAGTATTTTGGCCTGTCATACGTGTTGAATATCTTAAATATGTATTATGATTTGGTGCCATGTATGACGAGCTGTCAATCTTAGATCCTCAACCTATGCGCGTGCGCAAAGTGACATGAAACTCCTTAGATATTTCCATCCAATCTTGAACCTTTTCTGTGATATTCAAATGTAATAATCCTTATCTGTTAAACAGCCACATTTTATAATTACCATGTATTGTGTTATCGATTACCACTACAATTACGTTTAGAAATTAAATTTATGGAATAAACACAAAAGAAAAACATTTGACAGTAACTGCATTTGTTTTCACAGCAAATTTTTACTGAGTAACTCAAGTTCCAGTGTTTGGTCTTGGGCCTAAATTTTAACATTTACTTACCAAATGAATAATATAAATTGATAATAATGTCAAGGTTTCTTTTGTCTTTAAGTGACAAGGATAATGAAGTAGACAAATCTTCAGAGGAAGCAGAGTCAGACGACAACAAAATTAAGACGGACAAATCAGAAAAGAGTGACGATAATGAGAAGCACAATAAGAAAGCCAGTGAAGTGGACAAGGAAGAAAAGAAAGATGACATAATTAAGACGGAAAAGGTGGACGAGAGTGAGGAGAATAGGAGGAAAATTGGCAATGAAATGGCAGTGGACAAGGTCACACAGGAAAGAGTGATCAGGAAAACAATCATTTTAAGACTGGTAAGAGAAAATGGGAAGCTGGTATGCCAGGTGAGAGACGGGGAATCTGGCCGAGGTGCAAACCAACTAGAGAAGGTGAGGATAACACACTAACTGTGATATATTGCAAGCATATTTTGTTAATTGATGACCAGACCACACACTAGAAGGTGAAGGGACGACGACGTTTCGGTCCGTCCTGGACAATTCTCAAGTCCTAATCGACTTGAGAATGGTCCAGGACGGACCGAAACGTCGTCGTCCCTTCACCTTCTAGTGTGTGGTCTGGACAACATACTTTAGCCACGTTATTGTGACTCATCGCCTGCATAATTTGTCAAAATATGTGTAATTATAAAAAAAATCAGTCTTATATAGTTTACATCTTAAAATAAGTGCTGCACAAACTTTAAGACAGCTTTCTCTATAAAGTGTTATTATTGTCAGTGTGCAGTTAACGTAAATATGCAATCCTGTTCAATTATTGGTTGGATATTAAATAAATATAAATGTATAAAATAATGGAAAAGTATGGGTGACAGGAGAAAAAAATACTCAAGGGTTAGGGAGAATCTACAAGGTCTTCTTTGCATCCCCCTTTATTCTCTTCTCCGAGATTATGGGTCCCTACAATCATTAAAATTGCTCAAGTGTATATAGGAGTACTCTTGAACTCTTCGTTGAGTTAAAAAAAGTTTTAATTAAGAGAGGTATTAGGTTTTTAACACGTTTTGCGTATCAAAAGGTATATACTGTACAAGGGAAGGGTACCAAAGATATCCCCAATTGCCTACATGTGATGTATCCATATCGAATTAAAGGTGGATTGAAATGTCTCCCCTACAAGTAATTATTCATAATTTATAATTAAAGGTGGATTGAAATGTCTCCCCTACAAGTAATTATTCATAATTTATTTTCAGACTATGGCAGCGATCCCTGCGACCAGTGAGACGAGAATATCCCTGCAGTTAACTCTAGATGATGGTGAAGAAAAGCATAATAAATTGTCATCAATTGAAGATAGCAACGTGGCAACTTTTCTGCACGAGTTTTTGTAAGTTTGATATTATTTACTTCGTAAGTAGTGAAAATATCGTATATCTGATGCATGCTATTCAACAGTTGCATGCCAGGTTGCGGGGAAGTGGGGAAAGGGAGGGAGGGTGGGGGGGGGGGTAGGAATCCTAGTGAAAATATATACAGTAAATGAAAAACTATATGGATCCCAGAGACTTTAAAGCAGCCTCTTGTGTCTTTGCGATAAACGCTATGTTATCTTTTAAGGAAGTTACATATAGTAGTTTAACCCCTAGTATAATGCATTTTAACATCAATTATAATATATATATATATATATATATATATATATATATATATATATATATTGTACAAAATAGCTTAGCTATTTTACAGGAAAACACAACAACATAATCAGTTCTTTATAACTAGTAAGTATAAGGATTAATATTAATAGCGTTAATATCGCAATTTTCTAGAAAATATATTTCGTATAATTAATTTCTTAATTATATATTTTTTCTGAAGGTGTGACATTCGCCAACAAGTTGAAAACATATTTGAAGGTAGCCATTTACTTGACGAGCCCCGGAAGACTCTAGTGGGTGAAAGCAAGTCCATTGAAGATTCTAATAAGACGTTGCTCAGGGAGAACCCTAAAGAGACCCATGAAAGCCCTAAAGAGATCCAAGAGAACCCTAAAGATCTCCAAGAGAGCCTTAAATATCTCCAGGAAAGCCCTAGAGATCTCAAGGAGAACCCCTAAAGATCCTTGACACATGCATCGTCTGAGGATGAAGAGAAACAATATACCGTGATTAATTTTGTTTACTGTGTGTGGAATATATTTTATATTTGCAGCACCATTTTGAGATTCGTTTTTATTTTGTCTGTTCTGAGCGTTGAATTTTTTATTTGTCACTAAGAGCATCAGGAAAAAAGGTACAATTATACAAGGAAATGGAGGTGACTTTTACAACTAACTCACTCTTTATAATAAAAATTGCCTTATACAGTACTGTTGATTTAGAAAGGTTTACGCTGACTTTTAAATTTTAATTAGTTTGCGTTGATTATTCTGTAATGAAAAATCAACAAATTATATCTTATAACTTATTGCCCCAAACTTTTTGACTTGATGGTCTTCGGTGGAAAGAACGATGTATTCGATTTTTATGTTGTCACGGGATTTGTTTCTGCAATAAAAAGGTTTTATCACTGATCTTTGAGCGTTTCATTTGTCTTTTTTTGGGGGGCCACTTTGATTGTAACATTCAGCAAGTACTATGTTAAAGAAGTAGATTTTATTAAAAAAAAATAAGTGTATGAAGAAATTATAAACAAAAATGTAAACATTGGAAAATTTAGGGATTTTTTTTGTTTGGCTCAGGTGGGGAAGGGAACTATCTGGGGAAAGAGTCAAGCAATTACCACTAGATAGCACTGGCAAGGGATCAGGAAAAGGATTTGGGACGGGACGGGGGGTAAGGAATGGTGCCCAACCACTTGGATGGTCGGGGATTGAACGCTGACTTGCATGAAGCGAAACCATCGCTCTACCGTCCAGCTCAAGTGGTTGGGCACCATTCTTCACCCCCGTCCCGTACCAAATCTTTATCCTGGGGGCAAGAAAAACATATATATATATGGGTAATGGTGACAATTACTAGTTTTCCAAATACGTTCATGAAATTGCAAGGAGTCATACATAAATACACGGACGTAAATCTGTGTATTTCTGTATGTAGGTTAGATTAGAATTTTATAAGCACTGCAATCACCTTCTGTAGTTGATTGTTCAAAAAAGCACTGACCTATATGTTTAACATATCTCTAACCCTGTCCATAGAGGACAGAAGAAAACGTATATATGCTGGTTAGCACTATAAATGTGTGGCCATATCTGTGGTAGAAAATAATAATACAAAAATATAAGCATACTGGAAATTAGAAAACGTTTATGACTTACGTAATACCCCACAGAAGGGTATCTCACGGGCAGTTAATGGAACGGAATCTTACCCTTTACAGCCTGAATAACCTTTTTTTCAGTTTTCAGGCTCCCATTACCTGGTTAATTGTTCAGATTTTCAGAATCTAAAAGTTTCCTTCCGACAATTCCTTTATCTAATGAATAAAATTCTCGCTGACTCCATTGACGTGATCACGTTATGTCAATTTACTCCCTCTATTTACAATTAAGTGATATTTTGACTCTTGAATTATCTGTGATATTGATAGTGCCATGTAGCCCCATTAGCTTAGATCTTTTCCTGAATATTTACTTGTCGACATCACAAACCTACAAGGTGAGCAGATCAGTAAGCAAGAGTGCATTTGAAGTAAGAACCAGAAACTACATGCAACCTATTAGGCTAGATCCCGAAATAATTATATTCCAGTACACTGAAATACCATCAGTGATGATCTTCAAAGTATTGTACTGCAGAGCACACTGTATTAAATACAGTACATTTGCTGTAATACATTTCCCCAAAGTCAACGGCGACTACGCCACGCAGCCCCCGTGGCGTATTGGTAAGACACTCCTGGCGTTTCGCGAGCACTTTGTCCTGGGTTCGTATCCTGGCCGGGGAGGATTTACTGGGCGTCAATCCTTAACTTGTAGCCTCTGTTTACCCAACAGTAAAGTTGGTACCTAGTTGTTAAACGATTTGGCGGGTCGTATTCCCTGGGAATATTAAAATTATTAAGGCCCTGCCCGAAGCGCAATGCGTGTTAGTGGCTGTACAAGAATATAACTCTTGAATATATAAATAAATATAAATACATGCTAGTATCACCTCTGTACTATTATATAATTCCTATCACTTTAAATTTATGATTACTGTATTTGGTCATTAACAAATTGGTTTAGAAGACTTTACGTTTAAAATTATACCACTTGAAATAAGAAAATAATTGCATTCTTTCATACAGCTCAACCGCAGAGCCCATAAGGAAAACACCAAATCTAAAGAAGACGCCAAACTCCAAAATATATTAACAAATCCGCCCAGTTCACAACAAAATATACGTTAGAACAATAAGTAATACTAATTATGAGAATATGAGAGAGATTTGGAGACTTGTAGCGCATGAGGGAAAGTCGCTCCTGCCGGCGTCCTCAGACGAGCAGGAGGCCCGGCAGGAGGTGGACCGCAGCGCCTACTTTACTACTCTCTCTCTACTCTCAAATTTAACTTCTCTGTCCAAGATGACTCCCGAGGACGTCGCTCGCAAAGTTCTGCGTGACGCACTACTGAAGGAGGTATGGTATATTGGGAAATATTTGGCGACAAGGTGGTTCAAGACGTCGCTGCCGCCACGTCTGCCATCTTAACATTGATGTACAGTGTTGACTAAGTTTGTTTGACAAATAGGGTGGTGGGGGAAGAGATTCTGGTGATTCAGTTGCATTAATGAGAGACCGCGTGAGCGTATTTTCATCGTGCAATTAAAATTTGTTGAGTAGAAGGCTTAAATCATGACTGGCGGAGGTTGGTTTAGAGACCTGTGAGGATCTTGCTTGATTTAACGCAGAGAGATCAGGATATTTGCATGGCTCTCAGGCTATGCAAATACTATCAGTTGAGTTGATAAAATACTGGATAGGCTAGCAAAATTATATATATATATATATATATATATATATATATATATATATATATATATATATATATATATATATATATATATATATATATATATATATACAGTATATATTCCCTCTTCATAATTAGCTTGTTCAGATATTGCCAAAAGGTTGCTCACGTTCAATGTTTAGCTTAAGTATGAACCATATAACTTATTTCCTGAAACATTCTGATCGCGTAATAAGTTATATTGCCTGAATTTCTGGATTTTTATGAAACTTGTTCGCTTATGTTCGATATTTTTTGAAGATGTTTGTAGGTGTGAATGTATGTACTGTATTTGTGGTTGTTTTATATTAACAGAGATTCTATCACCTGTTGTTAGATTAAAGTTTTTAGACAACTTTTTGTTTAACAAAATTGTATTGCAAGAAGAAATCTACATGTTAAGTGCCATTTATTAAAAATATTAATAAGTGCACTTTTCCTGTTTGTCAAGCAGTGTTTTCTATGTTGGCATCTTGACGTTCTGGTCTTGGTCTTACTCTCATGGTGTTCCTGTTTAATGTACGTCTCTTCCCTAGGATGTCTGATGTACGGCCGTCTGTTCTCAGCTCCAAACTCCATTCCCTTTGCACCTGTTTTTAGTTCAACTCTAATAGCCACTTGTTGGACTATTCTTTCATTTTAACATCCCTATTTCACAATACGGATGGCTAATTACCAAAATATCAACAAGACTAATTATTAATAACAATCATCAGTCGTATTTATCCTCACAATTTTTAAATCAACAAAAATTGATAACAAACATTAAGAGAAAAGCGTTTATAACCAATGGTAAGTTATCTCAATAGATTAGAAATAGGATTAGTATTGAAATAGAAATTGGATTAGCATTGGCTTCTTTACACTATATATGATTGTGCTACATTCGCTACTTATTTATTATTTTTCCATTTCCTCATATTTTACCTATTCAGTCTTAAATCAATATACTGAGAACTGACACTAAATCTAGGGAACTTACTATTTACTTAATGTTTACCTAATTATTATTAAACTTTTTTTTCAGATGGTGGCAATAGATGATTATATAAAAGTCACGCAGAAACGCAGAAGAGAATTAGCAACATTTCGTGTTGTAGACATTCGTTCATCAGTTAATGAATTAAAAGGTTAGCATATTTTTTATATAATCTTTTGTGTTTGTGTAAGAAATGAATTAGGGAGTGGTTAAGTAATCTGATTGAATAAAACAAAATGAGTATTGTAGTAGTAGAGTTCTTTAGCAAATGACTGAACAATTAAATCTGAAGATGTCAATAAATACTGAAGAAGAATGGAGGGAAGGACTGAGTTAGTTTCGGAAAACACAAGATGAAATTGGCCTATGTCGAAGGGAAATAAATGGGGATCTGTATTTTGATTTTGTCATCACCCCATTCATGTAACATTTCTTGAGACTGAATTGAACTTTTTTTTTGAGAGGAAATTACGAGAGTTAGACATTTTCACATTCCAGTTTTAAGGAGAAAAAGGCTGTTCTGTAGTCACAAATTATCGAGTAGGTCTCGATAGTTTGTGATTGCACTGCAACTAAACCAATTGCATTGCGAGATACAGCCATGCCAAGTTGTTCAATTGCTGATCTGATGAGCTAGGAAATTTTTGCTAGACTGCCTAGATATAGCCAATTCTTGTGTACATAATATATTTAATTTCATCATCAACATCAGTGGATAGAATTAAAGCTTAGTTGAAAACAAAAATATACTGCTCAGGAGTTTCTAATTGGGACCTCATCAGAGGTAAACAGAAAATAATTAACCTAAGGTCAAAGACAATGCATAATCTGGGTTTGTAGATTTCTATACATTCTAGTAAGTTAAATTAGCAAATTTAAAAGCATAACATTTGCAGGAGACTGAAAATGATTAAAAGACGCTTAAGATCTAACAAGGTTAAATCTCAACCTTAGTATGAGTTATATTTAATTGTGGAATTGAATGGGTAGATATAGCAACTTAAGACTATTTCATGTTATATATTTACTCTTCCAGTTTTTGGCATGCCTTTTGTGGTATTACAATAAACAAATCGTGAGATTTTGTGGGGTACAACAGTACGTTGCACCAATTGTTGCTGTAAGTACTATCATTTATGGCGGATGGGTTGGATTATTTAAGATTGTAAAGTTCCAGATATTAGAATTGAATGACCATCTGCCTGAGCACTTGGTCTATCGTCTAAATATCATTATAACCACCCAGAGAACACTGAATAACTCCGGATTCTAGACTTAGGCCTTTGGTCCGAGTCCTTCCATAACAGTTATAAAAAAAATTACAACAACCGATTAATAATTTTCATTATAACCTTTTTGGCAGGCAACAGTGATATATGAAAGATGTACTTATTGATCCAGTATTATTTGTCACGCAGGAAAGCTTCCATCTACAACGAATAAGGGGTCTCAGAGTTCACGTAAAGAATTATATCAGCAGACAGGAGGGACCAGTGTTACATTCGACATCATGTAAGTAGAGCCTATGGTTTACAAAACTTGGACATTGTTGTAACATTTGTTTTCTGGACATACAACATGTTGTATTTGTTTCCTGGACATACAACATGTTGTATTTGTTTCCTGAAAACATGTTCTACCATATTTAGATTTCTGTCAACAAACTAAGTTTTAAACTGTGTGTACATTTTCGCAAACTATTCCAACGTTCCATCATGGAAATTATTCTCTCTCTTTGGAAATACGTATTATTGTGGCTGAATTATATGTCGGTTTATATGCTTTACAGGATTAAATATTAAACAAATCTATTATTGCTGTAGAAGCTACAAGAGCCTTTCTGACCGTCAAAACATTTACCTCAATATTGTGGTTTCAGAATTCCAATATTTTCAGTATCTTTTTTTTAGGAAACACAGACAAACGGAGTTTTGCTTGGCAAAACTGCGTCATATTAGTTACATAAAATTTTAAAATAAGCCATTCAGACATCACTAAGCTACAGAAGTCTGTTTCCTTCATAAATTACAACCCAATAATATGTAAATTACATGATGGGGAAAATTGGAAGAGTTATGCAATCATACACAATCATCTGGAATGGCTTTATTCGTGGGTATTTTCAACTAGAAATTCACTAACTTCTGCGCCGTAAACTGTTCCTCAAGTTTATTCCTCTACAACATAGTTTCCTGTTGTCTTGTTCTGCATAGTGTGACATTTTAAGGTGGCAGTTGTTGCCAATTGTGTTGCCGTAAAGTTAAACTAAAATAGCATTTCTTCAAGATGTGCAAATTGGTATACGTATTTAATATCTTAAATGTATCGCATGATACTGTGCTTTGACTCTAACGCTATCAGTCTTGAACCGTCAACCTGTGCTGGAACGCAAAGTTACAAAACATTTTAGCAATAATCATCCTACATTTAACTTTTTCATTATACTAAAGTACAGTAAATCGATATCTTGTCAACAGCCACCCTTCATAATGATCATGTACTTTGTTATCGAGTACCACTTCTATTCTTTGTAACAAATAAACGTGGTTTTCAGATATTGCACAAAAAAATAGTATATCCTGTCAAAGTAATATTTTAATTGAATACGTATTTTGTTTTGTATTTTATCTTGGGACTTATGTTTCAATATTGCCTTAGGAAATAAATATTTTAAATTTATATTAATGCCTAGGCTTCCGTATCCTACAGTGAGAAGGAAAAAGTGGACAAGGCCACAAAAAAAGATCAGAACACAATTATGAAAGACAAAATGCAAAAAGATGAGAAGACTGGCATGTGCTGCGACAAAGCCAAGGCAGTGGACAGACCCACAAAAGAAACAACACAAGAGGACAACATTAAGAAACAAGAGCTAGAAAAGCACAGTGACAGAGGAAAGGCAGTGGGCAGACCCACAAAAGAAGCAACTCAAGAGGACAACATTAAGAAACAAGATCTTGTAGAGTTCAGTGACAAAGGAAAGAAAGTGGACAGACCCACAAGCGAACAAGACTGCAAGAACAAAAGTAGGTTGGATGATGTGGTTGAAGATAATAATGTAAAGCTGCAGGCTGACAAAAGAGGACTCTAAGAAGACGAGAAGAACAAGTTCCAGAACAGCTAGAGGAGAAGGGGAGGATAGGTGAGTCTTTTGAGGATTAGGAGCATTTGAACCTTGAATCAAATCAATCTAATTATCGCCATCACACACTCTTGGCTCTTTACTAATTTTCTCATTGATTAATCACGTTAATGTGATTTTGTTTGTGCATTTGAAGAGAAGCATTGGAAGGAAGGAAGGAGGGGTGGGGCGGGGAATTCCAGGTTTTACCATTACTTTTAGTGTGTCGTGGTTTAGTGGTCTAAGGCGTGTGCTTGGCAATACTACTGTGCAGGTTCGAATCCTCATGGCTCCTAATGATTTTCTCATTGATACAACAAATTAATGTGATTTCTTGGTGCACTTAAACAGTGGCAATGATATACACAGTGATACAACACTTGTACAATGGCATTGATCTGATACTTGTACGATGACATCGATCTAACACTGGTACAATGGCAGTGATATAACACTTGTACAATGAGAGTGATCTAACACTTGTACAATGGCATAACATATAAGTATATAACACCCATACAATAACAATAATGCTTTACTTGGTACCATCGAAGCCTCGAACACGGGACCACATAGGCGGAAGACCATAATTCAAGGGAGTGAAATGATGTGATTACTCTTCATATAGAGGATTACCTAACATTACCTATAGAGGACGTGGAGGATTACCTAACATCTCCAAAGAATGCCCAGAGTCTTAGAGTTTGATACCAGATGTGTGTGTGTGTGAGATCCTTCCTTACTGAGGGTAGATCAGTAGCCAGGTTGGTCGAACTACCGTCTTTCATATTTGTGGTCCCGATATCGAGGCTGCGATGGTTCAAGTAAAAAAAAAAAAATTAAAAAGTCGCTAATGTATTCTATAAAAATTGTCCTTTTTCAGATACATTTAATTTGTTTTTAAGGACTTCGTATGTTGCAAAGACAGAGCATTCAACTGAAGTTGGGCAGTGTATATAGCCCTCACGATAGCCGTTTTGGGAACTAACTTGAAACAAAGCAAAAAAAGGGGAGTGGGGAACAGTCACAAACTTCCAACTTCACACTTTCCCCCAAGCGCCAGACATGGTGGACCGCCGCAATTTAATTTTCAGACCCGGAAAGTTTCTGCAGATCTATTTTCTGCAGTTTTACAAATCTGAGCTTCCCTGATTTGTTGTATTTCTCAATTCCGGTTGAAAATTGGACGCTGTTACATATGGAGATCATTCTTGGATTATTATTATTAGATATTTCCTCAATTATATCCTAATCACATTTGTTCAACTTTTACCATTGACTGATGATAATGAAAATTATCATCGATGATTATACATTATAACTCATTAGTGGTGATTATAGATGATTGTACATTATAAATCATTATTGAAGAGTGTAGATAAATCATTTAATGTGATGACTAGATTTATCATTATTGATGACTAGACGATAAAGAGTAGATTATTTTAAATTCTGAAAAAGTGTTAATACAATTTTAGTTGTCATTATTTTTACTATACGAAATAGAGCATCGTTTAAAATTTCACACGTCATCCCTCAAAATACAGGTTTATAATATTTAACATCCTCAATGTCAGGAAAAATGTCAATAGTGTTTAAATCAGCAATTAAAAATTAGTGTCAGGATACCTATAAATAAATGCACTACGAAATTCAATCTATATTTCGTAAAAAATTGTCTGACAATTTATTCATTATATTTTTTCAGAGTTAATGTCATTCGCAAAAAAATAGAAGATATATTTTTTGGTATTTGCTAAAAATGGAAGATATATATATGACTAGGTCCTTGCTCCTAAGAGACCACAAGGAATCCCGAATGTGCCTTGCAAGATTATGACAAGATGAGTATCGTCTGAAGATGAGGAGGACCAATTTTCAGTTGCTTATTTTCGATTTCGTTTTGATATGGGATATCATTTCTATTTTTAAGCATCATTTTATTGCACTTGTGTTCCGAACTTTGAATCTCGGGTTTCCATTACTAAACAGGAGAACAAGTTTGCCGTTGTTCAAGAAATTAGACGTGACTTTTGAGAACTTTCACTTGTATTATAATAAAAATCAGCCTTTTTTATTGTATTGTTGATTTAAAAAGGAAGATTCACTGTGACTAGGTAACATTTATATGCTTTGGACTTTATTAATCTTTAACGAAAAATTAATATATACAGTATACGCATATTAATTATTTCTTAAAGCCTATTCTAGCCGGCTAGGTAGAAAGAAATTCGGTGTACTTTATTTGTATATTTGATATAGGATATGTTTCTGCAATAAAATACTTTACCAATGATCTTCAAGCGTTTCTTTTGTAATTTTCTTGCCAGCTCATTTACAAAGCACTTACGAATTTTACAATCAAGTGTTAAATAGTATATAGAAATCCTAGAGTGATTGAACACTTAATAAGAATTAAAAAAAATATTTAACTAATGAAAATAGAAGAGAAGGAATGTATAAAGTAAGCATTCAAGGGGGAATATGAAAACCTCTTATAACAAACGGAGGAAAATATGGTTTAGTGCTAAGTATCATAGATTAACTATAAATAGGTTATGTTGTTTGAATAAGTGATTATTAAACATCTATACCGTCAGAGCGGGGTTGGTTAATAACAATAAATATGTTATCCTTTGAAAAGCTATGGTTTTGCTACAGATCCCCGTAGCCAGGACGGTGGTGTGTGCGGGCGTACCACTCAAGAAATCTCGCGAGTGGTCGTAGTAATGTGCAACCACTAGTTTAACGATGACACAGCAACCACTAGTTTAACGATGACGCAGCTAAGTGAACCACATTACACACTAGTCAACGAGAATCGACCAGACATGTCGCCCGTAACCGTGTGACTGGCAGATTGTGCCGAGAATATTTTGGAAGCGCTTGAGGACAAGAAGTTTAAACAACTTAAAATATGCCAGGGTGATATTAAACACATCTTACACCACTCAGCATCATGAAGAACATGCATGATATGCTGGTTATCAAGATCTTTAGGGGGGGCACATGCCGGTTGCTTGAAGGTTTTCTGCCATCCACAGTACAGACGGTTTATAAGATCAGGTTTACAGTGATCCTTAGGAGTATTAATGTGTTCGCAAAACAGCAACTCGAAAAAAATATCGCATCTTATTGCCAACATCTTGTGCGTTGTTCACAGACTTAATACACCGATTTTTTTTTTAGGCACTCTATCTCAACTTTATGATGGTTTAGTGAAATTAAAAGAGCGGTAATACTGAGGCTTCCGCGAAGAAATTAGCATCAGACTCTCACTTTTTATTTGCAACAACATCCCAGTTAACTAAACTTCTTAACCACTTCCAACACTTCTTCATTCACGAATAATTTCATGCTCAGAATTCCCATTCTCCACCACAATATCTTTCATTTTGTCCACATTCATTAAAGCGGTATTCTCTCACAAGCACAACAAAATTACCTTAACATAAATCTCCATGATAATAATGGTTTAAAACTACTGTACATAATCTGTATACATAAAATTTGCTGCGGTTAATTTACTCCTATCTTGTACTAGTCTAGCACAATTCTCAAGCATTTTTGTCCTGATTTCCCTTATGATCCATATGCATCACCTCTTATGCGCCTCCGCTAACTCTGCCTTCATTAACTATAAAGAGAGGACTCGTGCTGAACCTAGCGAGCAAAACAGCCAAGAAACTTCTTGTACTGAGGTGCATCTCGTACCTGCTCGACAGCAGTGTTTAGAAAATATTATATAATGCATCCGATGGCTTACATTTTGAGAATGCATAGCTCTTTTGCAAGTCATACCCCACATCCATTCTCAAGGCTTGTGGACACCATACAGAATTATGGAAGATTACTCGTATATAGACCCGGCCTGGCTACACGTGATAGTATATCAGAATTTCAGGATTATGAACTGCCACAGAATATCAACTTGTAGCATGCAGTTGCCATGCCGGAACATCAATGATAGCAATTACTAAATTAACTCTTGTACTATATATAAATCCTGTTTAGCCCGTGCCAAAGACCAAGAGCCGATAACCAAAACTGAAAAATTACCCTCGATCTTCAAAGAGCCGAAGTATGTAGATAGCAACCTGAGCAGGCGGCAGCGAATGCTGAGAGTTCAAACAGATGACACTTGCTTACGGCGGCATGATGTCGGGTGCCGGGATGCAATCGAGGGAGTGAGAGCCCTACTGGATGTAACAAAATCATATATGCAAGTACCAAGCTCACACTGTAGGTACCAATATTATGTTGGGACCTGCTATCGAGAGATACCAGGCACCTGTTGATCGTGCCAAGCTTCTGACGTTGGTGACAAATTTTCGTATTTGGAGTATCAGGCTTCACGTGGAAAGGCGAAGTTCCATCATGAAATGTCGAGTGGTACTTGGAAAGGCCAAGCTTTATTTAAGAAAAGCCAAACTTTACGTAGGGGAAGCCAACAGCTCTGCTAGGGAAGATCAAGTATGCCCTGGAAATACTAGGCCTCAAATTAATATCCCCTCCAATCACATACAGTAAGACATAAAATGCTCAACACTTGTTCTTTTGAAAAAAAAAATATTTTCAATTATTTTTCATTTTCAAATTACGGTCTTTTTTGGCCGTAGAGCCATTATTGACCACCCAGCAAGTATAATTTCGTCCCGAACATATTAAATTTAATTAGTCAACATTGCATCACTCGCAGCCTAGTGTTATAGCCTCGCTATAAATTATTAACCCTCTGGTCGTCAGGTGGAAAACTTGAGTTTGACTTGAGATTCACGTATTTATATATTTACTGCGCTGTTCCCAACACCTGTCAACACAGGTATCAACACCGCACCCCCCCCTCCCCCCAATAGCAACATGATATTGAAGCTTACGCTATGTATTGTTTTTTTCAACTTAAAAGTTCGTAGTGAAAGCACACACACACACTGAGATCTATCTTGAATTGCATTCAAATAAAAAACTTATTCATTTACTTATTATTAATAGGTAAATTATTTATTGACATTTTTTTATTTTTAAACCACTTTAAATAAGAGAGAAAATATGACTTCCAGTACTCCTTTACTCCCTTTACCCCCCCCCCCCATTTCCCCCACCCCCCCACACACACACATAAAATAATATCAAAGAATGTGTCGATTAAGGTCTAGACCTCACCATAACAAATATATAAATAATATTACAGAAACTGGTTCCAATTCGTCGGGAATATTCCCCCTTTCCCAAGTGTCGCTGTGAATAACCTGGCTCTCAAGCGCTGAAAAATATATGTATTGCAGATTTCCTGGTCATGTTTTGGCCCTCAAATGTATTTTTATATATTTGAATCCGAATATTTTTTTCGGCGAGAACAAACGCACCGTCGTATTTCAAGGAAGCATCTCCTCATCCTCCTCATTTTCTCTTACTCTTTATCATCTTTCTCTTCCCCCCCTCCTCTTTCGCCTAACTGCGAAGAGAATAAAGCCCTTGTCGTTGCTTTTTATTAGATTTTTTCACTCTTCATGGTTCACACCGGGCGTTTATTGCATCGCGTACGAAAGAGAGAGAGAAAGTGTGAGTGTTATTACATGTGCAAGCTTCTCAACAAGAATGAATATTTTACCAGAATTTATCGCTTATAACACTAGCAGCTCCCTTTCTGTGCTCGTTGTACAGAGACAAGATGATTACCAAATGAAACACAAATACACACACGCACCCAACATATACATATAATATACATTTATACACGCATACTAGGGATAACCGATAGTTAGAAAGGTAGGGTTCAAGAGCTAATAGGTCGATCTTGGAGGCACAAATAGTAAACACACACACACACACACACACAAGGGAATCGATCAAAGAAAGGCATTATAAGTTGATCAGGAGCATAACGAGAGAACATACATGGAAGCTCAAGATAAGAGATGAGCCACAGGAATATAAGGTCCAGACACTCTTCAGTGTAAAGATAATAAGCGAGAAGAACAATAAGAGGAAGAGGCAGCCTCCTTCTATAGTTCTAAAAGTGAGTATGACAAGGAGTTATTGTATTAGACAACCAACAGGGGAGAAGACAGGGGACCGAGAGCTGAACCCCGATTTTGCATGCTCTGTTAAACAAGAACATACACAAAACCAGAGGCTAGATCCTCTAGCCTAAATTAGTTGAACGAACACAATCAAAATCCAAACAAATTGCGGGTTCAAAATTCAATTAATATCTAAGTTTTTCTTGTTCGATTACCTGTGAAAACTTTCCTCCGGAAACAAGCTATTAAAACTTCTTGTAATTATTTCCACGGCAAGTTTACTGCAAAGGAAACTTTTTTGACCTGCCGGGCACAGAAGCCTGGACGAAGCGCCGCTTTGTAACATATTCCAAAATAAGTGTATCAAAAATATTTGCACAGAGATTAAAGTTAACATAAACATACAACACTGTTGCGTTCAGATACCTGCATATTTTAACTAGTAGTAGTAGTAGGCATCCATCAGTCTCAGGAGACTATGGAGTTGCGCACTGGCGTCGACCTGGTCTGGAGTGGCCTCACAAGGGCGCAAAGCCAGGGTAGGTTGATTCGGGGGAGAAGCTGTTACCCAAGCAGCAGGTCCCACACTCTCCACGGCGCTGAAAGTCTCCAATGGAAAGGCATACACCAATACGATTGGTTCCAGCGCCGTCGCAGGCTGGAACCTGCGACGGCGCTGACGGTTATTCGATATTCGACGGTTAAAATATCGAGGATATTTTAACTATATAGTTAAAATAGGATATTTTAACTATATATACTATTTTATATACACACATATGCGAACAAACTTGAATGATCCCCAAGCCAATATGCAACTGAAAACTCCACACCCCAGAAGGATTTGAACCCAAACAGCCAGAAGCACTGTGCACCTTGTATGACAGGTGCTTATATGACTCGTATGATATCTGTAAGGAACCAGGTACGCCAAGGTCCAAGATATATATATATATCTTGGCTCCTTGGCTAAATAAATATATATATATTTAGAGGCTATCATATATATATATATATATATATATATATATATATATATATATATATATATATATATATATATATATATATATATATATATATATATATATGATAGCCTCTAAAAAAAGAAAAAATGACATGCGAGGGATCCATTTTGGACACCGGGCAATAATAAGGGTTGTCAGATCTGAATTGCTGACCCAATTTGGCAACCCCGGACAGATTGCACTTGGATATTGCAGGGTAAACAATATTTGCCAATAATCAAAACAAC